CTATGTACATACTTTTTGTATTAATGTAATCAAAGAGAATGAAGAATCAATTCCCGCATTAAGTGTTTGACTATTTATGGTAGGTTATAACTTAAATATATCACACGTAATATATTGTTTTGACATCAAACTTAATATATTTATTAAGGTTATTCGATATATTATTTATTATGATTTTTATTTAATTATTATAATTTTATTTTAAAAAAGTATTTATAAATTATCGTTAGTCTTAATTTCTAAATAATATGAAATTTTTTGATATATCAAAATATGTTGGTAATCAAAACTTTGAGACAAGAGTGATATAGGTTTTACTTGTAAAGCTAATGTTCTAAATTCAAGTCTATTGACATTATATACGTTGTTCCACATGAGTTATCTGTTTTGATGTTTGATAAGACATAATTAGTAGTTAAGAGAGGAGTGTTTATAAGACCTTTGACCTAGACTCTTAATAATGCTAATAAATTAGGTTGAAAAATTAACACCTAAAAGAGGAGCTAGGACACATAAGTCCCTTAGCTTTAACTAAGGATTTTTTCTAGTATATCAACATATTTTACCTAACCTAAGAGTTAAGACCAAAAGTCATTTATAAATAGTTTTCTTCCATTACTCACCAAAATGGTTTTTAAAATTAAAAAGAGAGAGAGAAACATAATGATATAACGAGTGTCAAAAAAAATTATACTTCATGGCGACACAATCTAATAGACTTCATGTTATAATCTATAACAATATATAAAAAGGATACTCCTTTTTGCAACCGTTTTTAGTTTTCACTTTCAATTGAATAATTAAATCCCTTCAATTGCTTAGGAAAAATTCAAAAATTAAGAGTTTTTAATGTCTTTTTTACACTATAAGTAACCTCTTCATAATCTTATAACTACCCATTCCATCATTTCTTCTCTTATTTTTTTTTCTTTCAAATTTCAACAAATTAATAATTTTCTCGCATTTTTTCATAACTGAATTTAGATCCTCTCCTGCAATTTTCTCTCTCCAGCCTCTCTCCTGCAACATTAATAGCCATAAAATATATCTAATGACTCAAATTTAATCTTATAATTAATGTAACTTCTTAAATGATTAAATTTGAACCATTAGATATATCTAATGACTATTAATATTGCAGGAGAGAGGCTAGAGAGAAAAAATTGCAGGAGTGTTGGGGCAACTCGAAGACGAACGAGTCGAAATATTTGCAAGATTCCTCGAAAGAGATTATAAAGGCACGCGTCTACCAATGAACGAATGGGTAATTGTTTGAAATGGGACATTCGATGTGCTCGAAAAGTAGTAACATAGTGCAAAGTACTTACGGTCATACAAGGAGAGTTAACGACTGGGTCGAGAAGTTAATTTACGTGAGATAAGCGGTTATGAGAAGTTACAAGTTAAAACCACGTGGTGAGCATAGTGGGCAGCGGTTATCCCCTAATGATGTACGTGCACGAAATTAACTGCCCCTAATTAATTCTATAAATACAAGTACTACGCACCTTAACAAAGGTCGGAAAAACTCATACTTGAATTAGCTTCTGAAGCATTCTCTGCCTACACACACATATGGCTCTCGTGCACAAGATCGTTTTTGGGTATGACTGACTCTCGACCACTTTTATTTTCTCTTTTTAGGAGTAGAAGTAGAATAGTCTTCTTGTTCTTCGTTTAATCACGTAGTGTATTCATATACTTTGATCAATATGTTTTCATGTGTAATGTAATTTGACCATTGTACGAAATGAACTATGATTTGCATTGCTAATATACGTGTTGTTCATTCGGTGCATTTAAGTATTTACATACATGAACACTATTGCTTGATAATACTTAAAGAATATTTAGAGACAAGCAATTCTTGAAAGTTTCCACTCTGTCTCTGTTCTTTGCACTGTGTTCCAAATACATAAGAACGTTAACATATCTAAATTGAAACATTGATTGTGCTAGTCCGAGTAAAAAGAATCCTTAAAACAAATTCCACCGTAAACAAATTGGCACGAAATATCTCTTCCCTACTAATATATATATATAAATAAGTTAAAGAATGTGTGAGATAATGGTTACCACATATGCATTTGCATGACGGGGACAATAATATCGACGAAAAAGCTAAGACCCTAGCTGTGATATCGTACATAAAATTAATCGAAGGATCGTACACGAGATTAATCCAACAGATTACCTGAACAAAGCCGATTAAACACATTAACAACACTCACTTTATCTTAGCCATAGATTCCGCCAATCGTAACGCTCCCATTCGTTCGACACGTCGCATATAGAATGTTCATGCCCTCATTTTTTATAGCATTTGTCTCGGAAGAAAGTTTGGAAATTGCACCGGCCATTGCACGACCTTTGGTGATGCCTTAAAGAAACCTAAATCCACAGCACCATGCTTTTTGTGGGGTTGAAAAGGCCAAAGAATAAAATCTAGAAGCTTAAGATAACACATGAATATATATATTAATTATATATCACATTATTGGAGACCCTAAAAATCTGATTTTATTCCCTTTCCAAACTCTGTCTATTATCATGCCGTGGCCTCAAGTTCTGGTTTCCATTGATCTTCAAAATTAGGGTTCGTCTCGTCTCCCAAATGCTGAAACGCCATCGCTTTGTGAACTGTGAATTAGAACATTGACAACTTGTTATGTCTTATTAAACTACCTTACCAACCAAACTAACTATATATTATATGGCTTCGTCCACGCAGCGCATGACACGTGATCCTATGCTGTTTTCTCTACATTCTTATATTGCCAAGTCTTTTCATTTTGGTTACTCACGTATATAATGAAACATAATGAATACTGCTACAAATAATTTTTGCAGAGCTATATCAGAAATTAAAGTTATAATAACCACCACGATTTATTTATTCATTAATGATCTCATATTATGTTATATTCCATCAACGTTTCAGATTCAATTCCGAAGGTTTTTGGAAAATTTGCCTTTAAATATATATTTAAAAAAAACTCAAATTTAAAAACACAAAAATGTCATTTTTCAGTATTTTTTAAAATTGTATCCTTGAAAATGCGGTGCCACAACAATACTTTTTTTAAAAAAATTGTGCCAATGCTCTTCGAACCCTGTATTGCATGTAAATTAGTGGGTTTTTTTTTTTTGGATAAACATAATGGAAGGATGGTGAAACGGTTGTTATATTTTATCCGGTGATCTCGAGTTCAAGTTTTACACATACAAGTGTATCAAAATGTTCGAAGGGTGAACTTTATTCATGTACAGGTAGGAGGGTTCGGCCACCACCTTATCGGCCGCCGAATGGCAGGACCAGGTAGCCGAACGTCAATCGGTCACCTGGATCGGCCTATCATCACTTGGTATTCTTAATCAGAGATTAGGGGTTAATTAGCCGATTAAAGTGTATTACCTAATACGGTAAATATGTTGCAAGGCCCATGGGGTCCAGGGCCCATAAATGTCAGTATAAATAGCTCAGGTCAAAAGGTAACGTCACTGTTCATTAATTATCCTAGATATTCGAGCTTGTCCTGACTTGAGCGTTGGAGTGCCTTTTGCAGGTACCAACCCCTTCACCAGCTTATTGGATCGGAGCTCTCGTTCGGCCTTTGGACTACTAGAAGACTTAGTGTGCCCATCAGACAGGTACATTTGGCGCCCACCGTGGGGCCAAACTGAGACGTTTGTGAAGATTAACTGAGCGAAACAATGGCGATAACAAGGAGAACGAACACGACAGATCATCAGCACGAGGAGGAACACATCGAGGTTGTAGACGAGACCGATCTTTCTGAAACCGTCCGTCTGTTGAAACAGGAGATGGCCGCGATGAAACAACAACGGGAGAAGGACGCGAAGGAGCTTTCGGCATTAAGAGCCGAGAATGAGGCACTCAAACATCAAGATCCGTCGTGGAAGCCTACTCAGGCAACCAACATGCAAACTCAGGGGTCCTATCAATCCCACGAAGTGCACACCTCGGCCCCACATGCCTCCGTAGCACCCGAAAAGCTACCCTCAGCCCAACCAATCGTCGGTCGGCCAACAGATTTGGCAACCATTGGAACGCATCGTCACCCCTTCACCCCTACTATCATGCAACTTCCGCTGATGGATAACTGGAAATCTTTGCCTATTGATAAATATGATGGTACCACTGATCCTGATGAACATCTTGATGTTTTCTTGACACAGGTAACGCTGAGCACAACGAACGATGCTGCCTTGTGTCGGATTTTTCCATATCACTCAAAGGTAGGGCATTGAGTTGGTTTACGCGGCTCCCTCCCAATTCCATCGATTCCTTCAACACTTTGTCATCCCAGTTCACCATTCAATTCGCAACGAGCCGCCCTCACAGTCTGACGTCTCTATCTCTTGTCGGCCTTCGACAAGACAAAAAGGAATCTCTTCGGGCCTTCATGGATCGGTTCAACAAGGCAACCTTGGAGATCCGAGACCTCAACCCAGCTGTAGCGCTCCATCACCTTACAACGACATTGAAGCCCGGACCATTTGTCAACAACATTTGCAAGAAGCCTCCTTCGGACATGAACGACCTACGAAGGCGGGCCGATAAATACATGCAGATGGAAGAGTTGGCAGAATTTCGAAATCAAGCCTGAGCTGAACAGTCAATTAAGCCCGAGAAGCCAGAACAGACATACAGGGGGCGAGGCAAAGAAATAGCTCTTCGGGACCGCCTGTGCGAGGTCCCAAGTACTCCCATTATACTCCTCTTATTGTAAGCTGGGCCACAGTACTTGAACAAGCTTTGGCAGCAGAAGTGTTGGCGGTCCTAAAGAGAGCTTCCACCCCACCACGCGCTGATACCAGCAAAGCATGTAGGTATCACCGCAATCGCGGACACTCCACCGAAGAATGTGCTGCCTTGAAAGATAAAATTGAAGATTTGATTAAACAAGGCAAGTTGCATAATTTTGTGGATCGGCCAGGGTCATCTCATCCCCGCTCGTCATACCAGCCTCGACACCATGACCGGCATAGGTAGGATCGTTCTGATAGACCTCGGCGCGAGAGAAGCAGGTCGCAAGAAAGGAAAGATGATTCGACACCTTCCCGTAGGAAGGTCATTAATACAATTGCGGGTGGATTTGCAGGTGGAGGTTCAACATCTTCAGCCCAAAAAAGACACCTAAGAGCCATTCTATCGGTCAATGTTGTTGATAGGCAACCTTCCCGGCGATTGCCAACAATAACTTTCACTGACACCGATTTTCAAGGCATTGATCCGGTACAAGACGATCCAATGGTGATCAGTGTGGAAATTCACAATTGTATAGTCAAGAAAACGCTGGTCGACCAAGGCAGTTCGGCAGATATTTTGTATTGGAATACCTTTAAGCAGTTGGGTATCTCCGAGAGAGAGTTAATCCCTTATGACAATCCTTTGGTCGGTTTTGCAGAAGAGAGGGTAAGCACCAAAGGATATATTAAACTTTTCACTCGTTTTTGTTTTGACGAACAGGAAAGCAGGGAAATTCAAGTAAAATATATTGTGGTAGATGCTAACACATCTTATAACATTCTCCTCGATCGACCATCATTGAACATGCTAGGCGCAATCGTATCAACTCCGCACCTAGCAATGAAATTTCCATCCGACAAGGGGAAAATCATCACAATTCACGCCGACCAGAAGGCCGCTCGGGAATGTTATTTCGCTAGTTTGCGAGTAGCTCCCATGGAAGAAAGAAATTCAAAATCCAATAGGGTTCACGTTGTTAACCCTTCGGCACCGGTTGAGGAACCAGTTTGTGATCTTGACCCAAGAATGAATGATGAGGAACGTGTAGAGCCGATTGAATTGAAAGTTCCGTTACAGCTCGGGTCTCAGTCAACTCAGGTTACGTATATTGGAGCTGACATATCCGAAGAAGATCGCGTCACCCTGGGCCGTATAGTAATGAAAAACAAGGATCTCTTTGCATGGACACCGTCTGACATGCCCGGCATAGACCCAAGTGTCATGTGTCACAAGTTGTCAATCTGCCCCGAAGCAAGGCCAATCGCCCAGCGTAAAAGGAAAATGGGAACAGACCAAAAATTTGCAGTTGAGACCGAAGTCGCAAAGTTGCTCGAAGCCAAATTTATCCAAGAAGTTCACTACACCACTTGGTTGACGAATGTGGTAATGGTAAAAAAACCAAACGGAAAATGGAGAATATGTACTGACTACACCAACCTCAATAAAGCATGCCCAAAAGATGCTTATCCACTCCCAAATATCGATCGGCTAGTTGACGGAGCCTCCGGACACAGGATCCTCACTTTTCTTGATGCTTATTCGGGATACAATCAAATTCGCATGCATCCCCGAGATGAGGAAAAAACGGCCTTTATAACTGATTCGGCCAACTATTGCTATCAGGTAATTCCTTTCGGATTAAAAAATGCAGGTGCAACCTATCAGCGGTTGATGAATAAAGTTTTCCGACACCAACTTGGTAGAAGCATGGAGGTATATGTCGACGACATGGTCGTTAAATCCCACGACATTTCCAACCACGTGGCCGATCTTTCGGAGGTATTCCAGCAATTGCGCCGATACGACATGCGCTTGAACCTGGAAAAGTGTGTGTTCGGTGTATCAGGAGGAAAATTTCTCGGCTTTATGTTGTCGGCAAGGGGTATCGAGGCCAATCCTGATAAATGCATGGCAATTGTCAACATGGTAAGTCCCCAAAACCTCAAGGAAGTTCAGAAATTAGCAGGACGCCTTACAGCTTTATCAAGGTTCCTTCCCTGTCTAGCCGAATTAGCCAAACCCATTGTTGGTTTGTTGAGAAAGGTAAATAAGTTCGAATGGTCTATCGAGTGCGAGGAGGCTTTCCAGACTTTAAAGGAGCGCCTCGGCTCACCACCTATTCTTTCCAAACCCGATCCCGAGGTACCAATGGTGGTCTATTTGTGCGTATCAAATGACGCAATCAGCGCCATTCTAATTCAAGAGAAAGAGGGACAACAACCAATCTATTTTATCAGTCGCATGTTACAGGAGGCTGAGACAAGATATCAGCTTCTAGAAAAAGTGGCACTTGGACTTGTCCACACCGCTCGGCGCCTCAGGCAATATTTTCAGAGTCACCGTGTCGTTATCCGAACTGACTGCCCAATAGCCAAGGTGTTGCGTAAACCAGAATTAGCAGGAAGGATGATGGCTTGGTCTATTGAGCTATCAGAATTTGACATTAGTTTTGAGCCACGAGGGTCGATCAAGTCTCAATACTTGGTGGATTTCGTCAACGAATTGCAACCGAAAGGGCAATTCGTGAGTGACTTGTGGACGATGCACGTGGATGGCTCTTCAAACAATCAAGGAAGTGGAGCAGGTATAATCCTTGAGGGACCAGCGGGAGTAAATCTTGAGCAATCTTTGCGATTTGCATTTAAAGCATCAAACAACCAGGCCGAATACGAGGCACTATTGGCCGGGTTAAGACTTGCACAAGAGATCGGGGCCAGACGAGTGATATGTTAGACCGATTCGAAGGTTGTAGCAGAGCAAGTAAATGATAACTTTCAGGTGAAAGATACCAGCTTGTTGAAATACTATCATTTGTTCCAAAGAATGCGCAACGCCTTCGATGAAGTCCAAGTAAAGCACACACCAAGAGAGCATAACGAGCGGGCCGATCAGTTAGCTCGGTTGGCAACCAGTACTCGGAGGCCGGGACAGCTACGGACCACACTCCACCTTGACCTCGCAACTCCAAGTGTAACATCTACCGAATGCATGACGGTTGAGGAGCCAACCAAAACATGGATCACTGAACTAATGGACTACCTTGAACAAGGCAAAGAGTCGTCTGACCCTTTAGCTGCTAAAAAACTCCGAACGCAAGCAGCTCGGTATTCCATTGTTAGAGGAGACCTATATCGCAGAGGTTTTTCAGTCCCATTGTTGAAGTGCCTCGATTCGATACAAGCAGACTATGTTTTAAGGGAGGTTCACGAAGGCATCTGCGGTTTCCATTCGGGAGGACGAACTCTGGCGGCAAAACTGCTTCGGGAAGGATATTACTGGCCAACCCTCAAAGATGATTGTGCAACATTTGTAAAGCATTGTGTCTCATGCCAACGACATGGCAATCTCGTTCATGCTTCAGCTGAAGAATTACATGGTATCAGCTCGCCATGGCCTTTCGCAATGTGGGGAATGGATATCCTCGGTCCATTCCCAATCGCTAAGGGCCAATGTAAATTTCTATTGGTTGTTGTAGATTACTTCACAAAATGGGTCGAGGCCGAGCCACTCGCCAATATTACAGCTGCCAATGTCCAAAAG